CTTGAATCGAGCATTGCGACCTACAAGACCGAGTACGCGGCGCTCATCAGCGAGACACAAGCCATCAAATCCGAGATGGAACGAGTACAATTCAAGGTTGACAGGAGCGTCAGGCTCCTTGACAGTCTATCATCAGAGAGAGTTCGCTGGGAGGAAGGAAGCAAGTCTTTCGAGACGCAAATCAGCACCCTCGTTGGCGACGTCCTGGTCGCCGCGGCTTTCCTCGCTTACAGCGGTCTTTATGATCAAACATTCCGAAAGTCAATGATGGAAGACTGGTTGCACCAGCTTCATCTTTCCGGAGTCCAGTACAAGCAACACAATCCTGTCACTGAGTATCTTTCTACTGCTGATGAGCGGCTCGGCTGGCAAGAGAACAGTCTCCCCGTGGACGACCTCTGCACCGAGAATGCCATCATTCTGAAGCGCTTCAACCGCTACCCTCTCATCATTGATCCATCTGGCAGAGTCACAGAGTTCCTCCAGAAAGAGAGCAAGGATCGTCGCTTGACGGTCACTAGCTTCCTTGACGATTCCTTCACCAAGCAGCTTGAGAGCTCTCTGAGATTCGGTAACCCAATCCTGATCCAGGACGCGGAGCATCTCGACCCTATCCTGAACCAAGTCCTCAACAAAGAGTACCAAAAGACTGGCGGTCGTGTTCTCATCCAGCTCGGCAAACAACAGATCGATTTCTCGCCTGCTTTCAAGATTTACCTGTCCACGCGCGATCCGTCCGCAACCTTCCCTCCCGATATCTGCAGTCGAACCACATTTGTCAACTTCACGGTCACGCAGAGCAGTCTTCAGACACAGTCCCTGAACGAGGTTCTCAAATCCGAGCGGCCAGATGTGGACGAACGACGATCAAATCTCATCAAGCTGCAGGGAGAGTTCACGGTGCACCTGCGCCAGCTTGAGAAGCGCCTCCTCCAAGCCCTCAACGAGTCTCGTGGCAACATCCTTGATGACGACAACGTCATTGAGACACTGGAGACCCTCAAGACAGAGGCGGCGGAGATCTCGGCAAAGATCAGTAGTACTGAGGGTGTCATGGCAGAGGTTGACGAGATCACGCAACAGTACAGCATCATTGCTCGTTCCTGCAGTACTGTCTTCGCCGTGCTGGAGCAGCTGCACTACCTCAACCACTTTTACCAATTCTCGCTTCAGTACTTCCTCGACATTTTCCACTCTGTCCTGCGAGGCAACCCGAACTTGGCCAATGAGACGGACCATAATGTCCGTCGGGATATCATCGTCAAGGACCTGTTCGTCTCTGCCTTCAAGCGAACAGCTCTGGGTCTGCTCCAACGCGATCGTATCACCTTGGCCATGCTGCTCGCACAGGCCTCGCCATACCCTATGGACAAGGGGCTCATCGACGTCATCCTAGACAAGCGTGTGGAGGGCAAGGATCTGTCCACCGAGCCAGATGCCCGAGACGAGGCCTTTGCCAGAGCGGGCCACTTTAGCGCGCTCAAGGACAAGCTGGGCAGGGCTGCCTCTGCTGACTGGGACACTTTCCTTACCGAAGAACTTGCTGAGAACTTTGTTCCCCAGATCTGGGACGACAACACATCGGCAAATGACCAAGCACTGCTATCCCTTCTGCTGGTTAAGCTTTTCCGCCTTGACCGTTTCGTTCCTGCTGCAGAGCGCTTCGTAACGCTCGTATTTGGCTCTGATCTTTTCGATATTGTCGAGGATCTTAAGGAGACTGTCACCCAGGTGCCTGCCACCAGACCTGTCGCCCTTGTCTCTAGCCCTGGCTTCGATGCCAGCTACAAGGTCGACAACTTGGTGGAGAGAATGCGAGTCAACTGCACCAACATTGCCATGGGTTCCAACGAAGGTCTTGCCAGCGCTGACAAGGCCGTCACCAACGCCGCACAAACAGGCTCGTGGGTCCTGGTCAAAAACGTTCACCTCGCGCCGTCTTGGCTTCAAAGTCTGGAGAAACGCATGGATTCCCTCAACCCCCACTCGGACTTCCGTCTGTTCCTCTCCATGGAGTCAAGTCCCAAGATTCCCGTCAACCTCCTGCGCGCTTCTCGGGTCCTCATGTACGAGCAGCCCGCTGGCGTAAGGGCCAACATGAAAGACTCGATGTCCTCGCTCTCAACACGATCTGCAAAGAGCCCTGTGGAACGTACGAGGCTCTACCTACTGCTCGCTTTCCTCCACGCCGTTGTCCAGGAGCGTCTGCGCTATGCCCCCAACCTCGGTTGGAAGGGTTTCTGGGAGTTCAATGACAGCGATGTAAGTCTACCTCCTCTTGAAATATGGTGAATAAAGGCGCTAACAAGTTCACAGTACGAATGCTCGGCATTCATCATTGACACGTGGATCGAACAGGCTGCCGGGACTCGTACGAACATTGCGCCTCAGAGCATTCCGTGGGACATGATTCGCTACCTCATTACTGAGACTTACGGCGGCAAGATTGACGACGAAGGCGACTTCCGCCAGCTCAACAGCCTCGTCGAGTCATTCCTCACGCCTGCAGCATATGACATTGGGCACAAACTCGTCGAGGGGCCTGATGGTTCCGAGGAAGGCAGTCTGGTTGTCCCATCCGGCACGTCTCTACCTGAGTTCACAGCCTGGATCCACAAACTCCCCGAGCGCGAGCCGCCCACGTACCTCGGACTGCCGGCCAACGCAGAGAAACTGCTGCTGGTTGGTCTGGGCCGCAGCCTGATCGGCAATCTGAAGAAGGTGATGGACACTCTGGACGAGGGCGAGCAGCTCATGGCTGAAGCTTAGTAAGCACTGTTGTTGGGCTGTATGTGTCATTTTATCGCAAACCGGCGAGTTGCGTTGACGGCTGTCTATTCTCAGCTCATTTTCTGTGCACTCTGTTTTTGATGCGGCGCATCGTGGTTGGGGCGAAGGGGGCGGATGGCCTCCAACATTCTATCGCTTATTCGCTCTTGCGCTGATACCCCCTTTTGAGCACATCAGTTCGACTAGATTGATTATTGTTTCGTCATCGCAAGCAAGCATTTTTTATTTGAATCTTCATCTTTACACGCAAATCCCGACAGCAGTTGCTTCCAATGTCTTTTAGCCTATACCGTAAACTAGACTGACATTGGAGGGGCCTCCTTTAATTAGCGGCGAGTCGTAGCAAGCCGCAGCATCTTGGCTTACACAGACTACCCTCCTCTCGTGATGACCGACATTCACCATCCACTTCACCTTTAGATACGACTAGAGAAGCTCAACGGAGCATGAAATTCTTGACAGATCCTCTATGGGCTACGAAAATCAGGTAGATAACAGTTCCAAAACGAGATGGAGGTCAAAGTAGAACAATTCCCAACACCCTATCCCCCACCCTCCTTCTTCCCACCCCACATGACGCTCAAGGCTATCGCCACTTTGACTTGGGATCCCTCGTCGCGGGTACGAAGTTCCTGGCATTTGGTACACTGTCCGATTGTTCCCTACTCGTCTTTGTGTGTTCGAATTGTTGGGCGTTCTTGAAGGACTGTAGGTTGCCCGCGTTGCTCCAGTGACTGCTAGCCCTGGCTGACGTGCCCAGCATAGCCTGGTCGGGCTCCCAGATCGCTTCCATTCCTTCGACGTTTTTGCTGCAATCACCACGACCAGTAGATCCCCGTGTAATGTCATCAAGCCAGTAACGTACGGGCTCGGGCTTTGTTCTTCGCTTGGGATAGGTCACTGCTGGTTCTGGCAGATGGTCGCCTGTCCACTCTGATGTTTGTGAGGCTACGTGTTTGGTCGCTTCCCCGTCAAGATCATGGCACGAATCGTGGCTGGGGATCTGTGCTTCGGCGTCACCGTCGTCGGGGCAGTGGTCCAGATTGACCATGCCAAAAGGTCTGTGGTTTGCATGGTGAACTCCCATATTGGCGGAAATGATTTGAACGGAGACCTTGTAGAGAAAGTGATGCATACGTACAGGGTGACATATGGACACAACCTAAGCATCATGCGTGATGGAGTCGGGATGAGGCTTTTGTAGTCCATCATCTCCTTGCCATCCCAAGCTAAGCGCTTCGTCCAGGCGAAGAGTATTTCGAATTCTCACTGGATTTGCCAATGGAAACCTGTGTATTGGAATTCCAATTGACATCAATGACAGTTCTCTACAGCATACCACTTCCAATGACCACGTCAGCTTGGGCTGGGTCTCTCGCAGCGTTGGGCTCTCCCAAAGCCAGCGACGACACCACTCTCTGCATCTTCCTGCAGCCCAGCACACCCTCTCTGTCGATAATTCTTGGAATTTGGTGGTGGCTCGCGTGCGCGCATGTGGACGGCTGGCTGGCAGCGACAGCCTGATGCCCGCATAGGTGTCATCTGCCCCCCCTCTTCTTCTGTTGTTTGCCCATCCACTCCGTAGCAGAAGCAAATGCTCGGAATTCTTTCAAGTTCGAGATATAGCTGGTTCCACTGATCCCTCAGTTATGAGTGAGGCCGCCTGCTGCATTGCACGCAAGGCCGGCCGGTTTTGCCCCTTGTATTTGAGCACAGCATAACATAAACAGTGAGTGGCTTTCTGTTGTCGCGAATTTGATCCCGTTGTGTTGCGAGCCTGCTTTCCTGATATCCAACTTGTCG